CGACCTCAGCGTGGATATAATTCAGCAGATGTCACTGTCGTCTCAGGCGCGCTGGCCTTTTAAAGCAGAATAATTTCATTAGTGGAGCCTGTATTATATTTTCTTCGTCCACACTGGCAGCAGGAGCAGACATTCATCAGGGTAAGTGCTTTTAGTGGTTTGGACGCAGAGTCGCTCGGCTTAAACCACAACCTGAGCCTGGTTTATGTCCCCAGAGTCTGTGACAAATCTGAGCAACAAAAGCTTCAATGCTTCGCAGTAAAAACAACAAATAGCAGTAAACCAGTAAATATAGCACTCTCTGATGAGGCTACATGACAGGAGAAGGACAGGTTTGTCTTTAGGAAATGTTTGCTCGCTGATGGGGAACATAAACATTGACTTTTAGTCAATAAAAGTGGAGAGATTTGACAGCTGACTTAGATACACTTGTATAATTCAGCAGTAAAGCTGTGTTCACCTGCACTCAGTTTGGACCAGGTCCAGTCAAAGTCTGCAGGGACCAGCAGCTGTTACTGCTGCTTCAGTCTGGGACAGATGGACAGACGTTGGATGTCAGCACAGACACAAAGACTGGACTCTGTAACAACCAGTGAGGAATGTGAAGACTGTGGTCAAACAGAGACAAGTGTCCATTCTGAGGATTTTTCCACAGAATGATAAAGTGCTGTAGAACCAACAGAGGAACCCATTCAGAAAAGACACCCAAGTCTCTGGGCCTCAGCTCTATCTTCTGTTAGAGTTTGACCTTAGGGCCTCAGATTCATCTTTCACCTCTAACAAAAGCTGCAGTTTTTTCTCTCTGAGCTGAAACAAAAAAAAAAACTCCTGCAGTCTGAGAAGGAGACAGAAGTAAAGGCCAGGAATCAGAGTTTGAGTGGAAAAGTCTTGATGAGTGAAAAGTCACGTCTAAAACATTAGACTTTAACACAATGAGTCTAGATGATGGTTCAAATGTTACCTAGATGTTGTGAAACATCTTTGGTAAAACAATAGGAATAATTTCAAAGTCAACCACAAATGTTTAACAAACATCAAAACTACCACCCAAAAAACAAGCAATGATGACCCAGAAGAGAACCATCATGAGTTATTTTGGAAAAAGATATTAAAAACAAAAACTTCAAAGATATAAAGAAAATGTCAACATTCCAAAAAGGGGACCAAGAATTAGCCAAAAAGCTATAAACCACGGATGTTAAAGCTAAATTTTGTTGGACAAAAATTCTGAAAGTTTAAAATCAATCTTCATTCAATCATTTCTATTATGTTCAATTTCAGGGAGAAAGATGATACACAGTCTCCTGATTGAATTATATTTAATTAAATTCCTAGGAAAACAAAGAAAATTCTCTGGGCCGGGAGAGGAGCAGCAGCAGCAGCAGCAGCAGCAGCAGCAGCAGCAGCAGCAGGATAATAGTCATGACGATCATCGTGACACTTAACGGAGGAGAATTCATTAAAAAAACAGGAGCAACGACAACAAGGAGAATTCAGACAAAGATCCAGGGTCTAGTTAGAGATGGGAGTGGCCTCAGGCTTTTCAAATGAGGCAGGAGGAGAAGGAGGAGGCACACCCCACCCTCCACCCCTGCTGTCAGGTGGCTGATGGGAAATAAAGGGACAGGGACGACAGCAGCAGCAGCAGCAGCAGAGGGGCGTGTGCTGCTCCATATTAATGACAAAGACAGAAGAAGAAGTCCAAGTCTTCACCATTATCAAGGCGATGAGCTCATTTGTTTAAAAACAGAAAGTCTCCCTGCCTGACAATACAACGTCAGCAGGAGTTCAGAGGAGGAGGTGAAGACTGTGTCCATGACAAAAGACAGAAAACAACCTGAGTCCAAATGAGGACCAGATCAGGAGCAGCAGCAGCAGCAGCAGCAGCAGCAGCAGCGGTGGAGGAGAAAACTTTCATACATCTGAATGGGTCTGTGTGTGAATAAAAAGAGTCAGAGTTACAGCCTCAGACTCCTGCTGACCCCTCAGAGCTGAAACAACACACACCCTGCTGCTCCTCCCTCCTCCACTCACTACTGTTTTATTTTATTGCAGGGACAATCAGTGTTTACTAGTATAATAAAGAACATTGATAACAATGGGACCAACTGCAGGAAAGTTCTAGGGGAAGGAACTAAGTGCTTTGAGTTCAACTGGATTTATTGGATGTGAACTACGACTAGTGAAAACTATGAGAGAACAAAAAAATAATGTTTCCATGGAGAGAAGAGAAGATGAGCAACAACACAGTTAAACGGTCAGAACAGGAAACTTGTTGGGTCAGAGCTGGTCAGTGTTAGCCCTAATGTGATATATGTGTATTATCAGTTAGCTAAAGGGTAGCTATACCTTAGCAGAAATGCCTAAAGTTAATCAAGAACAGATGAAGAATCACAAATCCGGCCTGATCCGGCCACTGACTGAACTGTTGTTCCACATTAACTGACAAACTGCTTCCAACAACTGAACAAACAAACAGAGTCGTAAACAAACACATTTCACAGTCAACTGACCCCTGCACCCTCCTACAAAGACAAACCAAAGATCAGCAGCAGCCCACTTCAGCTGTCTCTCTCTCTGTGTGTGTGTGTGTGTGTGTGTGTGTTAGCAACAATCACATGAACTAAAAGTTATCTTCCATTCTGCTTGGAATTTACTAAACGTTACTGAGTGTAATATTTCTCAAAAGGTCAGAGGTCACAACAGGTTCCCAGGAAACACAGGTCATGGGACCTGAACTGATGATGTCACCTGAAGTACATGATGTTCACCAACAGGAACACCTTAAAATCTAACAAGAGTAAAAGTAACAAAAAAATACGAATTAAAAAAAGTTCAAGTAAATAAAACCAAAAGACAAACCAGAGAAAGATAAAGGTGAGACTAAAAGTATTTTTTAATCCAAAGGATGATAACATCCCATAACGTTGAACATAATTCAAATATTTTCATTTTGGTTTGTGATGGATCCGACAACTGGATGAACGAATCACATTAATGATGAGAAATAAAGGTGTTTGTGTTTCACTAAAGAGCTTAACACAGACAGAGGACAGGCGGAGACGTTGGACACCAGTCCACAAGACAGAGCAGTAGATGAGGAAAAGACGAGGAGGTGTGGAGCCTGGGTGGGGCTGCTGAAGCAGCTCTGAGAACACTAAGAGCTGAGTTTTTCCTCTTTAGGAGGGTGAGGTTTAGGGGGAAGGGTGGAAACAAGTGACATGTGACCACAAAAACCAGACGATATCCTGGTCCCGGTTTGCGGTGTTTGTTCAGAGGGAAGAGAACAAGTCTGAACTTTCAAGATCCAGCAGCTGCCGTTGGTGCTAAAGCTTCAGCTTCATTAACATGTTCAAAGTAAACATTTTCTATATGAAAATTTTCACCACAGTTTCTGAAGACGTTGACTTTACTTTACACAGATTTCAACATCTTCCTGGTGTGTGAGTTTCAGTTAAGTGTAAACATGATCCTAATCACACACAGGGAGAACAGGTAAAATCCATACAGGAAGACCAGTGATTGGAGCTAGGGATTGAACCACTGACTTTTTTGCTGTAAGGCTAGAGCACTAACCACTCTGGCCATCAGACAAGATAAACCTTCCATCCAGCTTTCCAAGTCTTTTCAAACTTCTGGGATGCCGTCAGCACAGACACATGGTGGTCCACATGGTTCTAACACAAACATCTCCAAGCACTGATGGATTTAAACCTGCACTCTGGGCTATGACAGACCTGACCAACACTGCACCACCACCTAACTACACCCACATATCAAAGAAGACACCCAAGAAACCAGGACAATTTAAAGGAACATTTTGTTGACGTCGCCTCGTCAGTAGATTGCAAACACAAACAACTGTTTTCTTTTTTTTTACTTCCTGTCACAAACAGCTGATTGATGTAGATTTGACGACAAAATCAGAGGTTTGCTCCTCCTCCTTCACCTGCCCATCATCTCCACCACAGAAACATGTTTCTTCCTTCCAGCTCCGACCTCTCGTCTGACCACACCAACGAGGAAAAGTCTGATCTAAGGTGTAATTACCAGAAGCGACCTGACTGCTGCGCTCTGCACCAAACCCTTCATTACAGTGGTAGATGGGAAGTGCTCTGCGTCATCATCGTGATGTCAGCGAGCCAGAGGATGGGAGTGATGTGATGATGAGCTCACTGCCTCGCCCATGGGGAGGGAGCGCATGAAAATTTTGTCTCATGGAATAAAATTAAGAAGAAAAAAAGTCAGGAAAAAAAAATCAACTTCACTGATATTAGTTGAAAAAAAATACGGATTTTGAGGTTTTGGTCATGTGACGTAAAGAATCACTTTTTAAAAATATTCTTTTTTTGATGTACCTAAACTGCAGCTAACTGTTAACATCAAACTAACTACTAACTGATAACTTTTAGCTTACTTTGCTTTAGAACCCTAATGTATTTGTATTTATTTGTTTGTTTGTTTGTTTTTTTCTGTTTTTACAGCTGCAGAACTACTCTTTTACTACTCTACTGCTTTCAAACCTCTAACCTATAACCACCACTGACTATTATTTCAGCTGTCACTCTTTTTGCATCAGTACAGCTAACTATTAACAATTACTTTAAGATTGTTTTTCTCTTTTAGAATTCAAACAATACAAACTCTCAGTCTTAACTGATTTTTGAGGGAGACCAGATAGATTTGAACAGTTTGATAGTTAGACAGATGGGGGGAAGAAAGGGGGCGCCGCACTGTTTTAAGTCATGTGTAAGAAAGACCAGTGGCAAACAAACAAAGTTAAAGACTGAAAGGAGCAGTGAAGACGGTTCATGTTTCAGAAAAAAAAACCCACACAACGTCAACTTGAAAACCAGTAGGAACGGGTTTTTTCTACAAATAAGGGGGAAAAAAACAATAGTAAAGAACAGAGAGGAGGAAAAGGTTCTCAGCAGTGGTTCAGACACCGGCTGTTGGTGCAGACAGGAGAGAAGATGCAGCTGGCACTGGGTCAGACTTACCGCTGCTGTGAAGGAGCAGGAGGAAGAAGAGAAGTTCCATCATCATCCTCATCATCTTCATCACTGTACGTGCCACTCCCTCAGATCCTCAGCTTCACTTCTACACCTGCAGCACTTTTTCGGTTCCTCGGAAGGTGGATCAAAATAAAACGGGTCCTAAAGGGATTAGAGAGGGAGTCACTTCAGTCTCGGATCTGGTTCTCCTTCTGTTCTCACGTGCTTCACCAACAGGGACACACAGTTTCTGAAGAAACAGGTGAATGAGTGTGAGGGAGAGAGAGACAGATTGGGAGGAGGGAGGGAGAGAAGAGGAAACAGAGGGAGGAGATTTTTTTAACTCCACCCACCACAAAGACAGACAGACACACAAAGACCCACACTGGTTTCCCTGGTTTCTCTATAATGGACTTCATCAGTTAAATGAACTTTAAAATGTCCGACTGGGCTCCTGTAGCTCCTGTAGCTCATTGAGCACGTGTGTCTTTTTACGTGTTGTTTCTTCTTTCGTCTTTTGTCAACAGAACAGCTAAAAGAACACAGTCTAAAGATTTTACAGAGTGTGTTACTATAGGCTACTTCAAAAATTAAATCAATTCAAATCGAACAATACAAGTTGTTCAAAGTAGGCTACTACTGTTGGCTGATGCAAAATTAGACCAACAGAAAAATCAATATTAACTAGAGGAATTATGCAAAATTAGATGAAAACTGCAAAAAATGTATCACATAATTTCCATAATTAGAGTTGGGGGTTGGTGTTTCTCAGACATTGTTGGAGGTGTACAGCTTCACAGAACACCAGGTGGCTCTGAACTACATGATACCATCACAGTGGTCAGTTCTGCAGACATTACTGTCAGTATAACAGTCTGGTTTTAGTTAAACTGGTATGGTTACATTAGTTTAACTAGACTGACCTGCTTATATTGGTTTTAAAATTGTAGGTTTTTCCATATTTAAGGTTTTATTCACATGTCTGTTACTGTCCAAAATCCTATGAACAGATCCACACTGAATACATGAGGCCAGATCATGTGTAGAGACAGAGAGAGTTTTATTTGTTGTTAAACTGAATCACTTTCTCAGCTGAACTGGTATGAATACTGACTGGGTGATTTCACTGGTTACTAAAATGAATATTCTTGGCTGTAATTGTGCAGATGTTTTAATATGGTGTTGATAGAAATCAGCATTTTGGAAAGACATAAATCACACACACACACACACACACACAAATGAAGAAACCCCTCCCTTCTTTCTATTCTTAAGACCTGTTTCAAACTCACCCCCTGTGTCTCGACTCTCATTCAACGTCTTCACTCTCGTCCCCACCCTGATCAACCCTCCCCCCTCCAAACACACACACGGAGTCACACACAATGGAAGAGGCTGAACCTAAAACCTGAAACTGCTTTAGAAAAGCTCACATTAGCAGGAAAATAGAAATCTGACCACAGTCTGATTAACATTTCTGAGAACCACAGTTTTTTCTTTGCCTTTTTTTGGTTCGGATTTAGGAAAAAAAACTATACATTTAGACTCGAATGACAAGTCTAAAATAATTTTGGGACAAGAGCTGAGAACATTGCAGGATAACACATAAGCGATTAAAAAAAAAAATCAAATCATTATTGGCCAACCGGTAACACAGGTGTGCCCAGAAAAGACTGAACGGAACATAGTGCTGGTTTCTCCCTTGACGAACACAGATCAAACTCTTGTTTATACAACTACATATACTACTACTCTCTCCTGTTCACCTGTCTAGAAACTAGACCACACCTTGCGGGAATAACAGGAACAGATGAGCAGAGAGATGGAAACACAAGTTAATGATAATTGGACCTGAGGGGAAAGTGTGCACGACAATGAACAGGAATAAACAGAAAACAGAAATAATATCAGTTTAGTTCTGAATCTGAAGAGTGTCACTTTTATTTGCCCTGTGGTCTTCAGGCACAGATGGTGTCCAACTCAGGTAGACTCTGTGTTTTAAACTAAAGCTGAGCTGCTAGCTTTTGGAATTTTAGTAAACATACTGTACGTCAGTTCATTATTGATTCTCAATGAATATCATTAACATTCAATTAAGGTTTTTGTTTGTGTGTTAGATACAGAAAAAAAATCAGTGACTCACACATACAAATGAGCCTTTGGTCCACTACTGCCTCCTGTGGTCAGGTTATGTCACTGGGGCAGACCGGAACCAAGGATTTCAAATAGTGAAGTCTGAAAATAACACATTTAAACCAAGTTATTGTGGCAACAGTTGACAGGAATACAAAATATTAAAAAGCCATGTGTTTGGAAGTTAATAAGAAGTCAGTTATCAATATCACCTGTTGATCCATTCACACACACCTGTAGTGTCTTTGTCTGGCCTGCAGTCCAAATCTAGAATGAAAAATGGTTGAACTTTTAGAAAGGATCTCAATGTTCCAGAACATTCTGACTGTGGTTCTAGAAAAGACTCTAGTTTCACTGTTTCTGACAAAACACTGATTTTTTATTTTTATACACAAAGCACAAGAATATATATGTAGATGTAAAGCTGTGTGTGTGTGTGTGTGTGTGTGTGTGTGTACAACATCTCTTCCAACCGATGTCAGAACACAAACACTTGTCACTTCTTTGATTAAACAAAAATCCGTGGGAGCTCCTACATTTCCTCCACTGTGACACCTCAATGTTGCTCATATATTATTCTGTGTGTGCTTGTGTGTGTGTTTGATCTCCTTCTGCAGATTGACAGAGAAAAATAAAACTATAAATAGAAAAGATAAAAATCAACCTGAGCTTCAGCTTCAGTCGTGTCATTATAAAACACCATAAAAAAAAAGCAAAAACCAAAATCAGGACATGAAGTTTGAGCAGAAGTCAAACTGACTCCAACTAACACTTAAAAGTCTTCTCCAAGTCGAAGGACTCTTTTCAGGTGCAGATACTGTTTTTCTACATTAATGTCCTATTTACAGTCATCTTCTACCATGTTCTAGTCTTTGTGTTTTCTTTATGAATTTCCATTATTCTTGATCTTCTTCACAGCCGTCCTAAAGTTTCTTCTCTATGTTCTTATATTTCTGAAGATCTTTGCCATCTACCCCCTGATTCATATTATGATGAGATCAAAGTCTTTCCCACAGTCTTATTTTGAATATTCTTATGATCTTCTATCTAACTGTACACAATCTCTTTGAGGATGTTTTTCCACATTTTCTAATGATTTCTAAAGTCCTGGTCTTCACTAAAGTCTGTGGAAAACCAGACTAATGACTCTGACATTTCTAGAGAAGAGAAGATCTAGTTAATGGGCAGCCGTCCAGTTCTGACCTGCAGGACAGCTGTGGATCAATAATGGCTTCATTAGTTAATCCGACTGAGTGAGTGTGAGCAGCCACTGGTCGATGAACAGTTACCGCTCTTTCCTGAAGACTCTGTCTTCATTGATTTTCTTTTTCTCTAAGGAATCTTAACTTTTACTTTCCAAACAATCCTCACTGTTAGAGTCGGCACAGAAGCAGAGCCTTTGTTCACTGAAAAAGCTTCTTAAAGAAAAATGTGTCTGATGCTGGTACCTGTGTCAGTCTGATGATGATGAGCAAAAGCTATTTATACTGAAAACAACCTCAACAGAGTGAAGCTGTTCAAATAGACACCGTCAGCTGATGAGAACATGGTGATACTGTAGTAATGTCTAATAAAATAAAAGACAGAAGTATGAGATACTGCAGGACAAAAGACTGAAAGAATTATTAGGGCAAACGTTAAATACATCACACTGACGTGAGAAGTGATGTCTCTGTCCTGTCCTCAGGTCAAAGGTCAGCTCTTTTAAGTCTTATAGACATGTCATTGACTACAACCTGATCACCTCTATGACTATTTAATTCACAACCAGCTGTTAACACAGATCACAGTCTGATCTTCTCACACCTTCCTAAAACTTGTTGAAGCTCAGCTTCAATGGGAGTCAATGGGACAGCACGAGTTAGCTTTTTTCACTATTGGATACATGAAAGCTGGTCTTCTGCATGATGTTTGGCATTTAGGACGCAGAAGAAATCTTTATTGACTACTTTAGAAAAATCAGTGTGTCATTTCCTGTGTCAGTCTGTGTGGAGTTAGTAAGAGAGGTCTAGAGACAGACTGTTGTCTGCTGTTAGTCTATAGTGATTAAGAGAAGAGAAGAGAACAGCTGGTCTGGAAGAGCCACAGAGAAGTATTTGCAAAAGAACAAAAAATATAATTTGGCCTGAAATACCTGGGCCTTAATTGGCTTCACTGATTTCACAGAACAATAGCCAGCACTGATTAAATTACAAGTTTGAAAAGGTGTAACCAGAGATTGCTCTCAGGTTTAGTTGTCAGACAAACAGACAGACAGAACTCTCAGACTTGAGGATGTGAACATGATTCCCAATCCTGATGTTTGGCCAGGATTGTTTTTCTCAGAGTTTTTTTTTTCTAGAGTCAGCACAAACCAGATTGACCTACATTTTTTCATTTTTGGTCAAACTTTTGAAGGATGGACTGTAAACACTTGAGTTTGTGGACTTTTTAACTCCTTGGTTTTTTGCAGGGTCAGCGGGTGCTGAGCTGAAAGGTGCTGACACAGAGGGAGTCTCCATGAGATCATGAAACACATTCATCCCGTCAGACCTGGGGCTCAAACCACTGAGCTTTTTTCTATAAAGCAAGAAAACTAACCTCCATCAACTCATGTTTAGATTAAATTAAAAGCCTTATTTTGAGCATTCATGACTTTTCTAATCTAAATAAATGTTCTCATGACCTTCTGATCCCCACAATCTTCCAGATTATTCTGACCTCATGAAAACCTACAGACAGAAGTCAGTCAGAAACTCAGGTCTGTCTGCTCTAATTTCTTCTGCCTCAGCCCCAGGGCCAACAAGCCACAGATTTGACAATCACTGCTGTTGTCGCCGACACACGATTATATGCAGTAATTAGCTCCACCCATGTTGACAGCAAACAAAACACCTGCAAACAAAAACTTTGCGTTATCATCACAATAATCTCACAGTTGTCCCTCTTTTCTGTGCTCGCACCACTGTTTTCCTCCTTCTGTCACCTCCTGCTGAGTTCATTACACTGTGACCTCAGCATCAGGAGGGCAGGGGGAGGA